TCTCCTTCCCCATTGCTCCTCTCCCAGTGCCCCGTCGGCCTCCCGCCCTCCTGTCCCTTATCCCCATTCCTCCCAGTTCCTCTTCTTTCCACTGTTCTTCCTGCCCTGCCGACCCATCCCCCTCCTATCCTGTCCTCTTGCGCCGCAGCCTCCTTTAACCCTCCTGCCCCTTCTTTCCCCTCCCGCTCCCCGCCGCAGTCCTTCCTGGTCCCTTTCCCCATCTCTCTGGCCCTTGGTTTTCCCTTCCAGGAAACGGCTAACCTTTGGGAAAAGGCACAGGCTGTGGTGTGTAGAAGAGGGCTACGAGAAAAAGAGGGAAACAGAGACCTGAAGGCAGAGAGCAAGCAGTGCCTAGCCATCTACAGAAACAGATTTGGACTCTGAAAGAACCAGAAGCAGCCATTGCCGGTCATTTCTTTAGCCAGAACAGATTCTCTTGCCCCTCCCAAAACTAAAATAACAAAAACACTGGGCCAAAGGTGTAGGTCAGTGGTAGAGTACTGAATTATGTGTTAAGTGCTGAGCTCCATCCACAGCACTGAAACAAAACCATACCCAGGGCTGGACATTTAGCTCAGTGGTTCCTCCACCTGCCTTGAAAGCACAAGGTCCCGAGTTTGATCCCAGGTACAAAACAAAAAACTATCATCTAAGGAAACTACACCTGCCACCAGCTACCAGGGTTCAGCTACCTGGAAGGCCTCTGCTTCCTCCTTCAAACCCACAGCCCAGTCCAAGAGCTATCCTGTGTGATCACCTTCCAGACAGATCTACACACAGTGATCCACAACCCACCCTCCAGCATCACCATGACCCTCCACGTGGTCCTACCTGTCCTCTCCCAACTGACCCTTTAAGGAAGCCTCTCCCTAAATTCTACAAGGGCCTCTGCCCTCAGTCTCTTTCCCCACACCCGCAAGAGGCTTCCAAGGGAAGCCTGTTAGGACATCTGAGTCAGATCTCAAATTAAAGTCTACCTTGAGGTCCTCTCAGCCCACACAGCCTGGCTCCCATGTCGTCCCCTTCCCCGGCTCTGCCTGCTCTCACACTGGCTTCCCAGGTGCAGCCCTGGCTGTTTTGCCTGCCTGGAACACCTCTGCTGTCCCCCTGGCCCACTCCCTCCTTCAGGTCTCTGATGAGACTGTCCCTGAGTACTATAATGAGACCACACCACCTGCCTTCACTTCTTCAGTTTCTTTACTTTGCTCTGCTTTCTCCATGACGTTTGTTGCCACCTACCATACAAATGTACTTATTTTTTTTTCTTTTTTGTTTTTAAGACAGGGTCTCACTAAGCAGGTCAGACTGGCCTTGAACTACATACATATCCCAACCAGGCTGGCCTCAAACTCACAGCAATCCTCCTGCCTCAGCCTCTCAAGTGCTGGGATTACAGGTGTGTGCCACCACCATGCCTGGCCATACTTAATTCTTTTAAAAGTTATTTTAGGATTTAGCTCAGTGGTGATGCCGCCTGCCTTGCAAGCACAAAGTCCCGAGTTCAATCCCTAGTACAAAAAAATTAATGAAAATTATTTTAATTTTTTTAGTACAAGTTTGCAATGCATGGTTACATTGTGGGGAGATGGTACATATACATAACATATCTTAATTATTTTTACTTCCCCTTCCCTCTAATTCTTCAGGCGGATGACCCACAGCTTGTCAAACATCACTACAGAAGTCTTAGCTGAGATTTGCAAACTCAATTCTAGACTCAACTATCTACTGAGGGGTAATACTGCCCCCTGGTGTCCAGAACTGGAACGACACAATTCCACAATACAGAACACTCGTGTTCACCAAAGATGTCTGAGCCCGAAAATGTTAATTCTTCTAAGTGACGCAGGTAATCTGACTTACTTGTAAACTGCTTATATAAGATTATATAGATTTGAAAATAAAAAAGTGCCAAATTAAACACAGAAAAGCAGTGCTCCAGGTGAGGATCGAACTCACAACCTCGGCATCGCTCCGCCTGCACTGTTATATAAGTACCGCGCGCTAACCGATTGCGCCACTGGAGCCCTGGCCGCACTTTCTAGCAGTTAGGTCCTTCACTTACTTATGACCACGTGACCGCTGGACAGCCCCACCCCAGATTGGATATGCAAATAGGATCCTTTGGTTGACCAATAAGAGGAAGAGAATGACTAGTTCCGGATTCTCACGCCTCACAGGCCCTTGCTGTAAAAGGGAAAAGTCTCGAGCCGCTTGGAATGTGGGGCAGTGGCCTGCCGGAGGACTCGCCTCCTCATGAATATTCAGAAGCCAAGGAGGCGGGGCCTTAACTCTGCTGGCGGGCCGGCCGGAAGGCGGCCCCTCCCCCCCGTGGGCGGGAACAGGATATGAGCCCCGGCGGCGGGGGAAGGGGGATGGGAAACCTCGGGCGACCGCCCCCCGCCCCAAAGCTGGGACCGACTGTCCCGCCCCAGATGTGGCACTGCCACCACCAGATCCGGGTGCCGTCGGCCCCGGAGGCTGAGGGCTCACTTACACCCAGACGTCCGGGACTTCTGTACCACGTCTTGAGAGACCTGGAAGTCCAGACCCCCGCGTCCGGGCTGAAGGACCTCAGGTGCCCAGCGCCCCCTCCTGGAGTAGGCAGGAGTCCAGGACATCTGCCCCGCGGGACCCGGGAGGCCGAGCGTCTCGAACCCCGGTCTGAAGAACTCAGGATCCAGAACCGTAATTCCCTCAAGCAGTTCCCAGAAATCCGAGTCAAAGACCGTCGGGGTGGAGGAACTTAGGGTCCTGGACTTTTAGCGCCTTAACTAGACTGGGGCTGCGTCCCCCACTTCAAGGGGACCCAGGAGTTTGGGACCCCGTGCGCACCCGCCTCGAGGTGATTTGATCCCTGCCTCTAGAGGTAGGGGAACTCCGGAGCCCGTACCCCTACAGTTCTGCCTAGAACACTAGGAAATTTGAGTTCCCAGCGCCCGAGTCTGAGTCTGGAGTCGAAACTCCCAGCATCCCCCACTTAGAACACCAAGAAATTCGGACTGCTGGACCCCACTCCCAGAGACCCGGGATTCTGGCTCTTGGAGCTTGAGAGCCCGAAGTTCACGCCCCGGGGTCCCGGCTCCGCGCCTCCCTCCCTGGGGACCGCGATCGTGCAGACCGGGAACCCGGCTCGGCGC